TGAGCCATTATTGTACTATAGTCTATACACTGATCATATCCTCGCCGTGACCGTGCGGATTTCGACCCAGAACACGGGTCAAAGTCGACGACGCAAAGGTGGACAAACAGACCCTGGCCGTGCAGGATAGCTGCTGAAGCACGATGGACGGTCTGAAGGTCGCTCTCGAATCCAGACAGCTAGTCGTCCTTACTCTGTCTACTACAGCTGTTATCGCGGCTGGACTAGCCTACCTGAAGTGGCGGAGGCCGCGTACAGTGAACAGGCAGTACGTCCCAGTCGGCCATGTCTCCAAAATCTACGTCCACCCGGTAAAGTCCTGCCGGGGTTTGGAGGTGGGGGAGGCCGAGGTGACCAAACTAGGTCTCCGGTTGGAGGGGGTTATGGACAGGTGAGTCTGGGGTATTTGCTTGAAACTCACTTCTATGCCAAGCGTCTCACTATCTCTGTAATGTATGACAAGAGCCAGGCTCACTGAAAGACGTTTATATAAAAACAACCTCCTTGCTGTCCGGCCCTGCCTGGATTGATCGTCGACCCGTGATTAACTCTGCTGTGTCATTCGTTACACATGATCAGTTCAAGACACTGAGGATGGATGTATTGATGACGTGCAAGACTGTACAATGTTTAGGCAAGTTTTCTCGTCCTTCACCACCTTGTATCATGCGTTTATATGTATGTATGTATCAATCAGCCAATCGGAAAATGCCACAACTATAAAAGTCAGGCATGGAGCAAACATTATGGTTCACGTTAGCTGCACGACCTTTGAACTTTAATGTTTCATTGCTTCGTTGAAGCTCACCAGTCTGTACCCCCCAGGCACCTGCTGATCCTGTATAAGGACCGGTTCTTGGACGGACGCACAGAGCCTCGGGTGGTGCTGATCTCACCACAGTGTGCTGGAGACGGACAGGTCAGACTGGAGGCACCCGGTATGGACCCGCTTACACTCCCCAAACCAAACAAACAGAAAGTGTACGACATCAGGTGAGACCTCTTCTGTAAAAAGTGAAGTTGTATTAATGAACATAAAAGTAATGTCGTGTCGTTGTCAACCTCGTTTTCTCTTACTCAATCGCTGATATAACCTTCCCGTCATTAGGTCATCATACAATTATCGAATTAATGGCCATTTCATACTATCTAACATATGTATCCGTCAATACGTCCATATTCCGGTAGAAAGAACAGCATTTTCATGGCTAATGATAATCTCTTTGACTGTCCCTTTGGCCTAAGCATGTTTGAACTTGACGGAGACGGGGTAGACTGCGGCCCGGAGGCTGCCGCCTGGCTGGAGCAGTTCTTGGGGAAGCCGGGCTACAGGCTGGTCATGTCCGCACCGGGGAGTAAGAAGAGACACACTGATCAACATCCAAAGTACAAAGACATAGCCAAGCCAGATGATAAGGTAGAACACTGGTTGGGGTTTATGCATTACACAAAAATGTAATTGATCTTGCTTGTTTGGTCAGGCGAAGTCGTGGATTGTAGTAACTAATAAATCGTTGTAACGTTACCCTCGCTCCATTTGTGAATATCTCAATTTCCATATGGGGCAGATCATGTGAATCTTATCAGGCCCATTTTCACGTGTTTTCAGGTGGGGTTCCAGCATGAAACCGCCTTGATGCTTGCGTCAGAGGCGTCTCTGAGCGACCTGAACAACAAGCTGGACACTCCTGTAGCCATGCGCAACTTCCGACCCAACATTGTGGTGTCTGGGTGTGAGCCATTTCAAGAGGTAAGGCAGACACTAGCTTGAGAACCTTATGATAAGTAACATTACGGAACTCAAGTTTGACAATGTAGAATGCATTGCTATCGTCTTTCTTAGCTTTGAAATGATTGTTATGGTTATTCTGCTGTTTACTGATCAGACGGTCAGCGCAGTCACATCGTTCTGTGGGCTCCCGGACCTGATCATTGTGTAGTCTGTGTCGATGTCTACCGTGTACGTTCCTAACCCTGCTCACTGCGTGAGGTATCTTCCAGGATAACTGGCAGTATGTGCGCATCGGAGAGGTGGAGATTCGGAGAATGTTGCCCTGCAACAGGTGGGAAAACAACAAATGTACCACAACTGATAAAATAAGCGGCCATGGAGCCATGTGTATACTAGTATCGCTTTCAAATATGTGATGAATGATGATAGCGAGCAAAGTGAATGCTATTCAGTATCATGGCATCAAACATATCATGACAGATTCATACGAGCCGTTGCTGCTTCTCGTTCCCAGGTGTTTGATGACCACAGTCGATCCCGAGACGGGTATGAAGAACGGTACGCAGGAACCTCTCAAGACTCTTAGAAGGTCTGTATGATGTACAAAAACCAGCCTAGTTGGACAAAAATACTGAGAAAGATATTACGTCAATGAGTAGTTTGATTTTGTGACTGAAATCTGTTCTCCCGGTGGTTTTGTAGCAGAAATTGGCCTTTTCTACAGTCTCCGTGCATCGACCCAAGTCGCATTGAACTAGGAGATTTGCGTTAAACTAAAACGGACAATACATTGTCATTTCAGCTATCGCTTGACCAAGGACGAGAAGTACAAGGCAGTGTTCGGACAGAGTCCGCTATTCGGGCTCACATGCGGAGTGGAGCAGGAGGGAGTGATCCATATCGGCGACACGGTGTATGTGTGCACGTAAGGCGGCGACCCACCGCTGATATGACGCTGCAAGGCTCCAATTGTGTGTTCAGTGCTCATCCCAAGGACTTGTATATCCTTGCCCTTATAGATCACCTGCGTTCTGCCAGCACATTGCCTGTGTAAACTTCCCAATCACATTTTATTAAGATGATGATGCATCAGTATTTGATATGATCTTACTAGTAGAATGTACTGTTGGCCGTCTCTGGACGGTCTCTCGACAAGGTTTAATGGCAAGAATATGATCTTCTCATGTGTAGAATATAGCGTCTCGTCTAGACTATGATGGGAAAGTCCCTGTAATAAACTCAGACAGCGATTAGCCGACAATGCGTCTTGCTTGAATGTGTGATACTTTATCATGTGAAGTAGCTTCAGCACCAAGGACGAGCCCCTCTATACTTATGAACAGTCTCGGATGTAGTTCCTGTATGTATTTATAGCGTTTCCCATGAGGCATCTAAGGAAGATAACGTGACGTCTGAGGCAGCCATATTAACCTCGTACATTGGGCATGACTTTTCAAGACCGCCTGACGCAATGTTGGATCGATTGAGAATCAAGCGCTAGTTACACCACGACGGAACACCGGCTGTTGGGAGGAGATAAAGAAACAAACAGCGTATATATTGCTGAATTCGCTACCAATGGACACTATATGGTACACAATACATCATAAAATTGAAGGACCAAACCGGAACCATGAGGATGTTTAAGAATGGCACGGCTTTGACGTTCACATTTCAACGATTACAAAATAACAGACGGAAGCGAGTGGTCGCTTGAATTAAAATCCAGTTACAATCCAGCAGTAGGCTTGTGGGTAGAAAGTATTGAACAGTGTCCAAACGATGAAAGGTGCACGCTCCAGCCTTGGCGTTCAGATAGCGCAGGTGCCGAGCGCAGGTTGCACGGTCGGTGACCCCATCTGATATACACAGGTGCAACTGCAATGGGGGTCAACGTGTCAGGTGGCGCTGCCTGAAAATGAGGTAAATGTGACCAAAGTAGGGATATATATAATGGAGCAAACGTCCTTAAAAAACAACGCAGGCTATAGGACATAGCTGCTGATAACATTGTTCAGACCTCCTGGCGATTATTGTTGTGATGCCCCGATGCATGGCCTTCACCGGGTCTTCACTGTTGTGGGAGGGCCGAGGAAAGCGTGGTAGATCCGGGGTCATTCAGGGTCAGAGGGAACTGTATGGAGGGAATCAGCATTCTTGGCCAAAACGGACCATACGCATTACTTTAGTCCCTTTTATGTACAAATATTGTCCGCCTCTTTTCTACCTGAGTGTGATACAACCGCTTCAGGTCTTGTTACGTGCCAGAATAAAGCGCCAGGCGCTCGGCGCAGTTTTGGCGCGAACCGAGAGAGACGCTGTTGATGGATTATGGGATTCCCCCCTCTATTCCGATTCAGGGCCGCCCACTCAGGACAGCCAAGATGGCGCGCTTGCGTTTTCCCGGCCGTCCTGGCAAAAGATTCGGCCGATCTAACGTCAAATTTGGCCTGGATGACTTCGAGAACTTGCGTGATCAGTCCTTGGACTATGTTGGAAGCATCGAGCGGGCACTAAAGAGGTTTCGTGACGTGTTTGGCGATTCAGACGAGGTACGAGTGCGTCATGTTGGGTTGGGTGGAACGTTGTTTTCGCCCAGTGTAGTCCAAAGGCGCTCAAAACGTGCCACAATCAATGTCGATTTCTGCCACTTTTTGTCTTATCATGGTTTGTAAGGCACTATTAGACAGTCTTCATATGAATAGAGGTACAATAAGTTTGCAACGGCAACGTCGATATCCTTATTTTAGGCACAGAATGAACGTAGTATAGTTCGGAAATATGGAACACAGCGGTCGCCATTTTGTTCACCCAGTCTGTTCACAGACCGTTGATCTCGCTTCCTTCTTGGTTCAAAATAAATTCTACTAAGCCTCCATCTCGAACTGAAGCATAGGTTGGTGTGGAAATAAGGTAGTTAGGAAACAATTACCGTATTTCATAATCTTCCAGCGACTGTCGGTTTATCGACATATTACGTTGAAACAGCGACGAAATGATCAAGGCCCATTGATTTTCGAATGTTGGAAAGTCTGGAGTATTTTTTATTGTACCCGGTATGATGACACATACGCCTGCATTGACCCCATTGGTAAATGCCCCCGTTGTGTATAGATTCCTTTTTCGGCCCTCAAATGTTAACTGAAAAATTTAGTGTATCCATATCGTGCTGATATGTATTTATTATTTTTTTCGGTACCTACCTAAGGGGGAGGGGGGCAAGGCAAACAAGTTGTATGTAGTTTGCAGTGCAGTGACTCTCTCAGTGTGGTACAATGTCTGGACTTGCCTGCTGGTCATATCACGTCCAGTTCATCAGGATATTTGCTGGAATTTACCCGGATGTTTTGGCTTTTCAGATGAAATTCATGAAGTAATTTTTAAGTGTGAACAGGTGATACCTGGATAATCACACTACATCATCATGCAACCTGTAGTGATGATTACACCAGCTCCAACAGCAGACATCTATATGCTGGGACGTTGCATCAGTTACTTACAGACATTGTCTGAGCTTGGGGCAGAGTATGACTTCACACTGTGTCCCTCAGGCCCTGTTGTGATCCCATCTTTGCACCATTCCACCATTTGACACTAAGGTGCAACAGAGGTCATGGTCATTACCACAGTACACACAGAAACAAACAAATCAGTTAGCAGACCAGCTGTTGACCCAGACTGTCAGAGGGGGATATTTATCTTAGGCAGCAGTCCCAGTTGTCTGTTTTGTGATTTACCGTAATGAGTTTTCTGCCAAGTTTACAGGAAGAAAAGAATTTTAAGTAAGCATCTTGTAAAGACATTAGACTAAGGTCATACGGTTGTCACACTCATAGTATTACTATACGGTTGTCATACTCATAATACCCATGAATATCTTTCTTCAGAAGATTTGCAGTTGATTTGTTGGATTTCTTTATTTTCTTGAGTGTACTGAATTGGTTATTTTTTTGCAATTAGATACCAGTATTACTTGTATTCTACTGGATACAGCACCAGCTAAATATGTAGTATCCTTCTGCAGACAAATGTCATGGTTGAACTGTTTATAAATTTGGCAGAGAGGAATAGATTTATGCAGTCACAAGTACCGCCGTGACTCACAAGTGATCATGTACTAAATTTAAGTATTTCATGTCCTTGTGTAGCCGTGTCATTGTGTCTCAGTAACAATGGTCTCTTTCTTACTTGAAATTGAGGAAATAGGGTACATGTATTCAGAATGCTGTCAAAAAGATTTACAGTAGAAAACTATTAATCATCTAGTGTGATACAAAAGCTGTCTGAAGTATTTTGAACCTCAGCTACATTTCCCAGTCAGTGGACAAAAACCATGTGCAATTTGTACCTGTATCTTCCAGGCTAACGTTGATCTACATGTTGATCTACATGTAAGGTATTATCAAGGTTTCATCTTTTGATATCTTTCTTCTTTCTTCATAGGATGAAGATTTTGAAGGGTTCGATCCTTCTGAGCTTGAAGTCAGGTCACCTCCAAGGCGTAGTGAGAGGGAACGTGTACCGTCCAGCCGCCTTAGTGAGTTTGCCCTTGACCGCCAAACGCTTTCCTCGTGGGTGTCCCAGCCTGGTGATGAGGATGAGGACGAGGATGTATCTGATGAAGACACACCTGACAGTTCAGCTCCTACCGAGAGGAGATTGTCAAGGTACCGAACTGAGGAGGCAGCCAGGTACAAGGAAGCAGAGGTACCTCGGAGTAAAGATTCTCACACGTCAGCTAAGGGCAGAGTCACCAAACCAAAGCTTCAGACGATTAAGATCCGTATTGGCGCAGATGGCAAAGCAATCAAAGTCGTCCGTGGTCGTGGAAGACCGCCACGGGTTGATCCACCCAATGTTCGTAGATCGTTGGAGAAGGAAGTCCTGAAGCCAGTGAAAAAAGCGATAGAAGCAAAGGCTGCCAGAAAAGTAGGTAGACAACAGGCAGTGCCCACTCCAAGAGGTAAGAAAGAAGCCAAAGTAAAGGACATTACGAGGAAAGTGGAAGTTAAAAGAACTGAAAGAAAACCTGGCAGGCCACCGAAACATGTACGTGTCCTGCCAATGTCAAAGAAAGTAGATAAGAATGTTGCCAAGCAGCTTCTACAGAAAGCAAAGATGGGGAACATACGGAGGAATTTGAGGACTGGTGGAAGCCCACCAACACCACAGTCAAAAGCACCTGGGAAATTCCAGCTGCCTCCAGTCAGTTCACGGTCGTCGCGAATCATCAAGCCAAGGAAACGCTTCATCGAGGACGATGATTTCTATTTCCCAATGAAGGTGCCCAGATTAGACCTGACCATGGCACTAGCTAAGGACAGTCCACTGGTTGATCAGACACAAGAGATGTCTACAAGTGAAGGTAACATGGAAGAAGTGGAAACCAGGACTGCAGCTGGTCGAGCCAGTAAGTTAAAAGCTCAGTCTGTTTGGAAAAAAGTCCCT